TCTCACAGGGCTGCAACCCGCCCCCATGACCTTGGTGTTTGGCTGCCGATGCTCCCAACTCGACCATCTCTACCGAGACGAGGTACTAGATGCCCAGAAGCGCGGCGTGTTTGGACACATCCTCACCGCCTTTTCCAGGGATCCTGGCAGCCCTAAGGTACCACGGGGCCGGTGGTAGAGATGGCGTGACCAGGCTTGGGCCGTCCCCAAGACCCCACCAGTCCCAACTCCCCCAGGCCCAACTCCCCCCAGGTACGCCTGAGGCCTGGGTGATCTCACAGCAAGGCCTGCCTCTCGCTCCGCCCCCAGACCTACGTGCAGGACCTCCTGAGGACAGAGCTGGCCGCGGAGGTTCACCGCGTGCTGTGCCTCGAGCAAGGACACATGTTTGTCTGCGGCGATGTCACTATGGCAACCAGCGTCCTGCAGACGGTGCAGAGAATTCTGGCGACAGAGGGCGACATGGAGCTGGATGAAGCCGGTGACGTCATCGGCGTGCTGCGGGTGCGAAGGGGCGGGCCCGGGCTGGGTAGGGTAAGTCTACGCTGGCGTCTCCTGGTAGGGTTCTGGTCCCCTGAGCTCTTTTCCTCCCCTCAGGATCAGCAACGCTACCACGAGGACATTTTCGGGCTCACATTGCGCACCCAGGAGGTGACAAGCCGCATACGCACCCAGAGCTTTTCCTTGCAGGAGCGACAGCTTCGGGGCGCAGTGCCCTGGTCCTTCGACCCACCCGGCCCAGAAACCCCCGGTTCTTGACAATCTTCTTCCCCTTCCAGTTCCCGGAGAAAGGGGTTGTCTCATTCCGTTTGGCTGACCAAAGCCAGCCACCCTCTCTCGAGAAAGCCTACAGCATCAGTCGCGAGACTGCGGACTTAAGAACTCTCTTCTCTCTCCGGTTCACCTGGACAGGGAGGGGGTTCCTCCTAAATCTTGAAAGTTCTTCTGGCTGTGGTGTTGAGGGCATCCTGCTGTCCTCTTGGTATGCTTTTGATGGACTGTAGACTCCCTTTTTCCCTCTCTGGATTATCTTGCCTTTAAAGTCTAAGTCATTCCGATATTTATTGAAGATTTATCATAAAAGATCATGTCAGATGTAGTGAGATACCCAACCCAACTCTTGTGGATTATAATGATTGAAAAAAGAGACAAGTTCCACGCTTTAATGTGTACGGATGTGGGGATAGTAATTCTTTGACAGTGAGTCCTAGACACCTCTCTCTCTGTGACCCAGTACTCTGAAAAAAAGTTTGCAACCAGCCACAAACAGTTCTGTGGCTGAGTGAACAGGTGCAGCCCTCAGCTTCCAGGAGTGGGGCATGCCAGACATTCCCATGGCAAAGATGTGCAGCACAGCCACGAACAGTCTCTACTTATTTCACACAGGATGAGGAGCCCCACCCACTTCCTCAGACATCACGGCAGTGCTGATGTCCAAAAACAGCAGCCCTCTCTAGTTTTTCCACTCACAAGTCTCCATAACCCCCGCCCCTGGTCCCACAGGAACTCAAGGGGGAGGCCAACAGGAACAACTTCCCTGCCGTTCAGGCTCTGTGCCTCATTGTGCCTCACTGATCCCTGACACTGAGCCTGATCACTGCCCGGGCCCTGCCCTCCGCCTTCAGGGCACTGGGGTCCTTCTTCCCAGGCAACTACTCCACAGCAGCCAGTTGGAGCCAGTCGGGGCTAGTCCCCTCTTGTCCTCATGTGTGGGGCCCGTCTCTGGCTCACAGTCATCTCCTACTCCTTGCTCTCTGGGGCAAGCTCCTCTCTGACTCCCAGATCAGGACCAACTAAAATATCCTGGGCCTGCCATCTGGGATGGGAGTGGGGCTCAAAAGATGGCTCCATGTATCTTTCCATGCCACCCCATCCAATTTCCTGCAGCTAGAAAAGCCAGAACCTGTGGGAGGAAAAGGCTGTCAGCAAACATTCCAGGCACCTAGGTTCTAGAGAGACAGCCCCACCGTCCCAGATTCAACTGGTATCCCCATCCCTCCAAAACTGACCCCAAACTAGTTTCTTTATCCTTTCTTGGACCCCCATGTGGGCAATACTGACCTGAGGTATCCTCAGTCAGTGCAAGGGGCCTGGGAGGGGCTCCTTCTGGGTGTCTGTGCTCTCCTGGAAGCCCTTTGGAAACAGATTCCGGGCCCTCTGGATACCCCACTGCTGTCTCGGGCTGGAAGCAGGACTGGAGCCTAAGGACAATGTCCTTGGGTGAGCAGGGTCACGATGCTTAAGAAACACCAGGCCCTTGCCTCTATCCCCTACCCTCCTCACCATCACTTGACCAAGATGGCTTCTCCTCATCTGGTGAGCCTGGCTGGGAAGGGCTGGACCAGGGCCTGGGTGGGGAGGAGGCTGAAGCGTCTCCCCATGGTTCCTGCTGCTGCTGTTGATGAAGCTAGATGGAAGGAGAAGAGTGAGGGACTCCCTCACATGTGGGGGTGGGGAGGGAGCAAGGCCAAGCTCCTCAGCTAGGTACAGAGAGCTCATAGTTCCTGTCAGGTAGTCTTTAGATTCTGGCCCCTCACCCAGTCTTCATTTCACTCACCTCCCCATATTCCCTCTACATACCTGATGTAGGTAAATGGCATGCAGGCTCATCTCAGCAGAAACAAGCTCGGGGAGCTGGGTCAGCTTCTGGCCCCCAGTGCCTCCTGGGGACACACAGCTAAAACAAGATTCCTAGTCAAGAGACATCTCCCTCACAGAGGAAGGTGGGCCAGGCTGCACCCCACTTTCCAAGTCCTCTCGGCACCCTGGCACCCTCTCTCAGAGAGTCAGCGCCGATCCAGACTCCCCTGCATCTCAGGCCTCCACCTCTCACCTGGGGTCCTGGACCATTCGTGAAATGGAGGCAAGGAGGCTGGCTGTGGCTGCAGCAGGGCAGGGGGTCGTGGGGCTGAGGTCCCTCTGGGGCGGGCGGGGATTCACCAAGAGGTTGGCCAGGAAGGCTTCGGGCTGAACAAAAGAGCCAAAGGCATCAGAAGGGATAAAGGGAGAACCAAAGAGAGGCAAGAGATGTGAGAGGTAACCCACAGAGTCAGGAATGCCCAGGGAGGGATGGACAGCAGGAAGGGGCAAAAGAGTAGGCAGGCCTGGGACTCACCAGAGGGGATGTGCAGTCACTGAGCACCCCTGGGGTCGGGGGGCTTCGTGTCGAGGTAGCACCCCAGGCAGCTGCATCTTGTTGTACCCGGCCCCGAAGGTGGCCAAGGAACTTAGAGCTGTGGCCTGGTGGCTGCCATTGTGGGTGTGCCAGGGAGAACCGCATTAAGGAGAGTTCAGTCTTTCCATCCTCTGCACGCTGAGAGAGAGAGGCTTCTGTCTGTCCCTCGGAGAGCCACTGCAAGGAAGAGTCCTTGGTGTTAGGGACACCAAGACTCAGGTAGGCAGGACAGGAAATACTGCCCCACATTCCGGATGTAGGAAATCCAGGCTGTGATTGGGACTTATTCAAGATCATCCAGGAGCAAAGTGGTGGAGCAGGCCATGGGTGCTTAGTCTCAGATACAGTCAGCTTTGATGTTGTGCCCCACCCCCACCCCCGCATGCAGCCCTAGTTCCCAAGACAAAATAAGCCTGTACCCCACTCCTCACCCACTACCTCCCTTTCTAGTGGGGGGTGGGGCAGTATTTGCCTCCATTTATCATCATCATCATTTTTTTAAATGTAACAGCAACTCTGTAAAGGGCTCTGTAGACCTGATGTGCTTCGGTGAGGCAAGCCAAATACCTGTCCAACCCAATTTTGTAAGGGCAGGGAAGAGCTCTAACCTGAGGGTGCCCATGGCGCTTCACATCCATTAGGGCAAAAGAACAGATGTCCCCGACACCAGCCACATCCACGGTGAAGTGATGAAAAAAGTCAATAATCTCCAGAGCACGGGGGCGGAACCAGAAGAGCAGAAACAGAGGAGTGAGAAGTGGAGACAGGAGTTCTTCCAGGAGGGAGACCTAAGGAAGCACGGGTGAGGCTGAGCGGGATTATCAAGAGAACTCCACAAGTGATCACCACGGTCAAGAGCCTCCAGGAACACTCTGTAAGGTCGGAGGCTTCCAGCCACTCACTCCGAAGCCTCCTCGCGGACCCAGCCCCACGCCCATGGAGCCCACAACTTCTCCTCCCAGACTGATGATTTGGACAGGGCCTACTCCGCAGCCCCTGCAGGCCCGGGCACTCACTGCTCGGTACTGAAGCAGCTGCGCCATCTGCCAGTAAGAGCT